AGTGTCAAATGCACTATACGGATATCCAGTAGATCCAGTCTTATTTTATTGTAAATGACAGACAAGATGCTTTCTATTTCTATTAATTTTGGGAGGAAGGAAAATACGCTAAAATAGGTGGAAATGAGTATCTTATGAACAGCAACACCCAGAAAAGTTTCCCCTTGTTTGAAAAGCAGGGCCGTCAGCCTGCATTTACACTTGGGAACTAATTCCCCATGTGTGGAGTGTCAAACACTGCCACTGTCAAAACTCAGCCTCACCTCATTTCTTAGCACTTTTTCTAGCCACAGAGACTGAGAACAAAGCAACGTGATCCCAGATGGAGTCGTAATCATGCTCCTCCAGTTCCACTGGGTTTATTCTAGATTTTCCCAGTCCTCATGCTGCCACTTCCAGAACTTTAGATATCTACAGTGGTTTCCATGAGACTGGCCTTCAGTGATGTCTCCTGGTGAGCCTTTTTCTTCTGACACGGCAAGAAATCTTCACCCTCAGACAGTCTACGGATTTTGCTAACAGGCAGAAAGCTAAATTTCTTTGACATATAGAATAAGCAGAACATATTTAGTTAGGAAGTACCAATCTTGGTGTTACTGTGTTTCAAGGGTGCAATAAACATCTCGGACTCTGTGTGTATTCCTGAAGCTCTGGCTTGACGGCAAGAACCAAAGACTCCCTTCGATGCTGGCTAAATTCCCACCAGGTTCATTTCTAATTGAGACAACACTTATATAGACTGACAGGTTTCCCAGCACAATGAAGGTAAAATTTGTCTCCTATATCTTGAGGCTGCTGTTTAACATAAATATGTATATGCATTTGTATATATGTTCCCCTTCCTGCAGAAATGGGTGGGTCACACTGCAAATATCATCCAGTGATAACAGTGCTGACATTTAACCCCACTTGGACTGTTAGTAAGTACTGGAGTTAGAGAAAGGTGCAGAATTTCTTTGAAGCTATTTCATAAGCATTTACCCAGCTGATACATCTATACATATGCATATGTATTTTTTTACTGTGAAATACAGATAAAAATCAATACAAGAGGGCATTAAAGGATGTCACAAGACAGCTGCACCTGGTAATGCCAAAAAATAGTAGCAACTGCAAACTAAGGATGCTCCAAGTGATGATAATTTGTGACCCTGTGCCAAGACACACTGGGGCAGATGAAAACAACTTGTTCCAAAGCTGCTATTGGGGATCTGACATGTTTATCTATTTGGCCCACATGTGGCTGTGTCTTCTAGCACTGACAGCTCCTGCCGGTTGGCAGCTTTTCAGAAGCTGGTCGGCCCTCGATAGCATTCCTATTCCTGCAGAGATGGGCGGGTCGCACTGCGGATTACACAGTGATAATAGCGCTGACATATAAACCCGCCTGCACGGCTAGCGAGCACAGGGCTTGCAGAAAGGTGCACCATTTCTTTGCAGTTATTTCATAAGTGTTTACCCAGCTGACAACATTTTGTATTCGGTATTTATTTAGTTTAAGGAGTAAAATAACAAAGGCTTTAGGCAAACTCACAAGAAAATTCTATGTACCAAAGTAATCTTTCCAGCAGGATCCCAGAGCTCAGGATTCCTATAGAATTTCTTCTCCAGCTTTCCAGCCTCTCATGCTATTAAACGTGTTTGTTTGTTTTACGCTGCGTTTCTACTGGTTATGGCATAGTTGTCTTCAGATTTATTGTCCACATCTGCAATGTCCTGATAAATGTAGGTTGCTGCTTTTTTCTGCTTTCTTTTGCTGAATATCTTTATTTTATTCATAGGAAGGAACCACAAATCCTCCAGTTTATAAATAGCTTGCAACATTTGTCAGGCATCTAAGGATCTTTCAAGAGAAGACTAAGGCACTTGATAATGCTATTCCTGCAATAGGAGCTATAGGCTTCTGTTCAGGACAACTTCACAGATATTGTATCTCTGCTACAGAAAGATGATTATCCTTTGCTAAACTTTGGATATTTGTAGGGTGCAACCATTTGCCTTTCATTCTGGAGGACTTTTCTATTATACTGTGGTACTCTACTGTTGTTTTATAATGAGGTTTGCAAGCATTGGAAACTAGATGGATTTTTTCAAGCTGCCAGCTAAGGAAGTTTTCGACCAATTACACAATAAATTGAATAAAAACTACAATGATTTAAGAAATTGGAAATCCAGAAGAACTATTGATTGATTTCATCAGGAAAAATATACCAGGAAATAAAGCCATAACTTAATATGATGTAAGTTAAATTAACTAATTTAAGTAAATAATTAGGTTGTAAAAAGGAAGTTATTAAATGATATATATGTATACAATAAAGAAGGGAAAAGGATACAATGTTTTGGATGTTTCTTTGAATACTATTCCAGAAATATCTGAATATTGAGCATTAGAGTCTAAAATATAATATTGTTAAGTAATTATATCCACAGATGAGAATTTTCTGGAAGCAAATTACTGGGGATCCTGATTTGGCTTTTTGGTTTATCAGTAGTTCCTAATATAACAAATATCAGAAATTGAGAGGTTTTTTAAAAGTAATCTGAATCTACCCAGTGCAGAGCATTCTACAGTTCATGTTCAGTTTTGTTTTAAAGAAAGATAATCCCAAACTACACACAATTTTGCATTCTAGTTTCAAAGCTCTTACACCTCTCTTACCTCCCTCAACTCGCTGTCTTTTAACCCTCCTTCCTCAAAGTCATTAATAAACACATCACTTACAGGCAGAAACTTAATATTCTGATCAATTACTTCTCGTTTTAGTGGCTGGGTATAAGCAGATACATCTTTTTTTCCAGACGACTCTTGCTCCAGAGGAGTACAAAGGACACACTTCAGACCCTTGTCGTCCCGACACGTGTGTGGTTTCCTCACACCGGGAAAGCCTGGAAGCGAGCCGCCTGGCCCGGCGCCAACCCAAACCACGGTCAGTCTAAACACAGCGCCGGCAAACGCTATTTTCTGACACTTCACTGCTACTGGAGAGTATCCTTTAGCGTTGAAACCTCGTCAGCAACTGAGATTTATATACAACCACCGGCGCAGCTTCCTTCATCTCGTCTCTCCCCTCCCCAGACACGTTTCTACACGCCCAGCACAGAGGAACCAAAAAGAAACGCTTCTGTGATGTTGTCTTGTGTCTTGGGCATTTACCCAAGAGGGTGAGTTTATAAAGCTGCTGAATGCTCACAGAGATTTTGGAAATCAGCACAGCGGGACGCTTCACAGAGCTTCTTGGTCAGTTTTAGCTACTTAAATATACTTTGCCTCAGTGTTTTGTCTGAGAAGTTAAAGATGATCCGAATGGTTAAACTGAGAAGTAGAAGTATTTGAACCTACAGACAAGCATTGCTTTAGTCCAGATATGCAAGTGGTTATGAATTCTTTTCCCCTTCTTTCAGGTTACCACAGATATGTAGGCATACGTTCTCTACTCAGCTTACCAAATACAAATTTTCATTCCAATATAAAGTGAGTGTTTGCTCTACAACGTCTTTCTAATTGCACGCTAATTCTCCTGGCTCAGTCTGTGTTCTGCTCTTCTTAGAACACACGACATCCATAATTATCAGTGGTGGTTTGGCTAAAGGGAAAATGTTGCCAGCTTGGATGGAGGGGCAGATCAGGCAGGGTGCAACCACCTCCAGAAAGCTCTGAACTCATCAAGCCCCGCTGAACATAACGGGAGGTGACAGCACTCAGCATCTCTCAGGAGGTAAGCAGCATCCCACAGAAACAGAAATCTGCTTTTCACACAAACAAAATTTGTTTTCTACAGAAAGCCCATGCCAGAAATCAATCTGTAGTCTGAAAATCCACGATACGAATAATGCTGTTATCAATGCAATATCCTGAGGAGGTGCTGGGTTTTGAGTAAACTACTGAGATGGAAGATGTGAGTTAAGTGTTTGATAAAGCATCCTAGGGAAGATATTTCCTGGAATGCTCAGAATCTGAGTTTTAAAGAAAGCGGCATATGGAGCATTGCAGAAGTCAAAATAAGAAATAAGATATTCAGCCTGGTACTATATTTCTTCCATATAACAGCAGCAAGTGTTGCGCTCAAACATGTGGGGCAAAACAGTCTCCTGTTACACCTGCTAAACCCCTGCGCCGCAGTTGCATTAATTCAGGGTCAGTTACCTCTTCAGAGCTGACAGAAGAACTTAGTAATTTAAAACCTCCTTCTGGAGCTTTAAGAAAATATCAAACACAGCTGAGAATTTAAATTTTCTTCAGTAAGTAGCATATCTGGAAGAAGCAGGAAAGCCATTTTCATGTGTGTTCCTGTGCAAGCATCTGTTTTTTACATGTAGAAGTCAAACGTGCTTACAAAAGCTCCGATTCATCGCGTCTGCTAGAAATACTGAAGGCTAAATTACCATCTTATTATCTGCAGTTAACACATTGTCACAGGGTATGGGCAAGGGAGTACAGCAGATCCCAGTGGAAGCTTCTCATATCACTAGTCATTCTAGATATTAATACAAATGTTAATATTAAAATTGCCACTAACACTTTTACTGTAATTTAACCATTCAAATTGCCTCTGCTCTGTTTACTATCCCAGCAATGTAATCCCAGTGACGCCAGGAAGCAAGGAAGGATCTGTCTTCAGTTATCTTCTTTCAAATGCTTTTATTTGAGGAGGGTGACCATGACCAGAGAAATTAAGAAGTAAACATTGGCAACAGCATTTTTTGCCTTTTTTGCTGATATTTTGATATTACTTTCATGCACTGCAGGGCTCCTGCAGGTAGTTGACCTCTTGCAGGACATCAGTCTCACAGGAGGTCACATACCATGAGAAATTCAATTTATTAAAGATAATCTGTATAACTATGTAAAGTGAGATTATCAAATCCTGGTACACAGCATTGCACAATGAATCTGACAGTTACACAGTGAAGAAGAGAGGGGAGAAAAAAAGAAGGAAAAAAGAGAAAAAGGAACAAAATTGACCTTATGAGATGAGGTCTGCAGAAAATAAACTGACCTTTTTTACATTTTTGTTTAAATCAACCAAGTTGAGCAGGAAGATGTGGTCTTTAGCCCCGATTAGCAGCCGACCCCTCTCCTCATCTAGCAGCAGGGTTCGAAAATCAAGCCCCTCCGCTGAGCCCAGGAACGGGATGCAGCTGTTTGAAAGCAGCAAGTCTGTGGGAAAATGAAGAAAATTTTTATAATCAAAATGTTTACATATGACTCATTGGTGTCTTTTATAAATATATGCAACCAGCATGGAGTATGCCGGTGAGATAACTGCAGTCTTAGAGCATGTCTTTCCAGGGTCATAATACAATTCCTGTTAACCTTGGTTTTCTTTGGGGTTTTTTACTTCCATATTGGGTAATATTTACTTTCACAAAACATTTTTCTGTATGAAATTTTCTTAATAAATTATATCTATGTCATAAAGGAATCACATTCTTCAACAGAAATTAGAAACAAAATAGGACATCTTTGCAAAATATGTGCTATACCTTTCCTTTGTTGTGAGAAAACTAATGTATGTTTATATCATCATGGATACACACATGATCAAGGATCAATTATCTCACCATATTTGGTGCTCTACATATAAAGCAGCAAAGAAGGTCAATGCCAGAAAGAATACTTAAGAGCAAGAAACAGTGGTTAGATGTAGCAGGTATCAGAGACTCACAGACTGGTTTGACTTGCCAGGGACCTCAAAGCCCATCTAGTTCCAACCCCCCTGCCATGGGCAGGGACACCCTCCACTAGACCAGGTTGCTCAAAGCCCCATCCAGCCTGGCCTTGAACACTTCCAGGGAGGGACCATCCACAACTTCTCTGGGCAACCTGTTCCAGTTACTCACCACTCTCATCGTAAAGAACTTCTTCCTTTTGTCCCCAAAAAATTGATCCTCTTTCAGTTTAAAGCCATTGCTCCTTGTCCTGTCACTACAGGCCCTGGCAAAAAGTCTTTCTCCATCTTTCTTATAAGCCCTCTTTTTATATTGAAAGGCCATAATAAAGTGCCCCCAGAGCCTACTCTTCTCCAGGCTGAACAACCCCAACTCTCTCAGCCTGCCCTCTGATCATCTTCATGGCCCTCCTCTGGACCCACTCTAATACCTCATTGTGTTTCTTGTACTGGGGACCCCAGAGCTGGATGTAGTACTCCAGGTGGGGTCTCACGGGAGAGGAGTAGAACAGGACAATCACCTTCTTCTACCTGCTGGCCACATTTCTTTTGATACAGCCCAGGATATGGTTGGCTTCCTGGGTTGCAAGTGCACATTGCTGGCTTATATCCAATTTTTCATCCACCAGTATCCCCAAGTACTTGTCTGCAGGGTGTCTCTCAATCCATTCATCACCCTGTTTGATATTAAGGATTGCCTTGACCCATGTGCAGGACCTCACACTTGGCCTTGGACTTCATACAGTTTGCATGGACCTACTCCTCCAGCCTGTCAGAAGACCTTCAAAGACTTAGTCCAACTAGGTGAGGGATGGCATCCCTTTCCTCAAGCATATCAATGGCACCGCTCTGCTTGGTGTCACCCACAAATTTGGTAAGAGTGCACTCAATCCCATTATGTCATTGATGAAGATCTTAAATAGCATTGGTCCTAGTATAGACCCTTGAGGGACACCACGCTTACTGATTTCCACTTGGACATTAAGCCATATATATAGTTGAGAAGAACTGGAAGGAGGTAACAACTGTAATGTGTATAGAAAGTTTGATACAAGGTTCAGTTTGTCCATTGTCTAACATTACGTTCTGGTGGCAGTATAGAGGATTGCTACAATTACATTTTCAGTTACTATCATTTCAATTGAGAATTGAGATCTGAATCAACAACCACTGAGCAGAAGTATATCCCTAGGGCATAGTACTGAAAGGAAGGCAATATAGACACATATTAAGGGGACCATCCAGTAGTAACACCTCTAAGGTCCTGAGGTCTTTACTTTCCTTACAGAGGTGGCAATGGGTGGCTGTTCCCGCATCCTTGCCCTCTCGGCAGAGCAAGTTTTCCCTATTAAAAGTACAAATTTGACACTTCAGTTTTACTGTGATTTAATAGTGTCTTCCAATCTCTTTCAAAAGGTAATTAAGAAAAACATGTTTCTCTGTGAAACTAATGAAAGAATCTATGCTTCTCCTGTAAAAAAAGCTAAAAGGCTGAAAAATAAGTCTGTAACCTTTTGCTTAATGAAGACTCTGTGGACATAATCCTGGATGAGGACATAAACAACATATCGAAAAAAGCATGATGACAGATTAGTCTTGCTGGGCAGTCATTAATTTGGGGACAACAAAAATAAACATGTGAATCAGTTCTTCCACAAGCAAACTTTCCAAACCAAACTATTCAGAAATCTTGGGACAGAAAGGTAAATCTTGTGTTTAACTGAATATAAAATTAAGGGTATTTCCACCTCCCTGACACTGGATGAACAATGTATCCTTCCTTCTAGAGAGGTCAGACTTACAGAACAAGTTAGTTATTCTTCCTGATCATGATGAAAATCAGGGCCAGTGTTTTGCAGAGTAACTCCTGAACAAAGTAGAAGGGAAAAAAAAAAAACAAAAACCAAAAAAAACCCCAAACCCCTAACTCTTTTCTCCAAGGTCTCTCACAAAACATGTGACAGACAAAGCAAAGATTAAGTCCTGTTGTTGGCTAATAAACAGCACTGTGGGAGAAAAAAATATTTTGCCATTATTAATCTGACTACCTGGCATATAATTATGACAATTATTTTTTGGCTCAGTCACTTCTACTTAAGCTTGTGTGGTTTTGTCTGGCTCACCGCTGGATGTTGTTACAGTACAGTCTGAAAACAAATTGTCTTGAATTGCAGCTCCTGTTCCCCTAGGTGAGATTTATTTGGCAGTACTTTAGAAAAAAAAAAAAACAACTTCACATTAAAAAAACTAAATCTAATGTTAAGCACTACACTGCTTTACATCAGCACTGTCCTGTCTTTTGTGGAGGCAAAGATGTCAAGGTTTTGGATTGTGGGTTTTTTGGTTTTTTTTTTCTAAATTAGTAACACTTTAAAAGACCAGCTTATTAATTGACAGCAAGATTGTTTAGGAACATCTTTTGTGAAGGCAAAGATGTCAAGGTTTTGGATTGTGGGGTTTTTTGTTTTTTTTTCTAAATTAGTAACACTTTAAAAGACCAGCTTATTAATTGACAGCAAGATTGTTTAGGAACAACTTACGGTTAGGATGGTACTGTAAAAAACTAAGTCCCATCCAAACTGCTTCTTACACTACAGCTGGCTGATGAATAAGCTGGCTGAAGAATAGCCAAGCCAGTGTAATAAATAAATACAAACTTAAAAAAAAAAAAAAAAAAGCCCACTAAACACAGAACTTCTGAAACACACTCCATTAGTGTGCTCTCACCCAATAAGAAATAAAGATATACTCTTCTTGACACTGGTTGTTACTGGGTCCTCTGATACAGCACAGCCACTTCTAGTGAAACTATTATTCTTTGTGTGTGATGTGTATGTGTCTTCATTAAATGTCATACTCTGTTCAAACCTCCTCCCTTGTTTTTTCTGACTGGAAATTCTTGGTACTGGATATGATGGAACTGGAAAGGGTTTTCTGGTGCTGATCACAGCATAGCAGGAGGTTTTAGCTCCCCTGGGCTACTCAAATTCTTCTCAGTTGATCTCTAAAATATTGTTTATCAGCTGAGCATTGCTGGAGCACATCATTTCTGAGTAATCGTCTTTCTCTTCTCCACCCATCACATAAGAGCTGGCTGCATTACCAGATTATCTGATCCGTTGTATGTAATAACAAATGCCTCATAAATTCTGCAGTCTAGATTAAATCTCTTTAACAGTTCTATGTCCCAATTAGTAGATAGGATGGAGGGAAAAGGAGGAATACAGGATCACAATACCTATTAATTAGTCATTCACAGGCATTAACATGAATAAACAGGAGAGATTTATGAATTTCACAGGCTACTGTGTTTCAGCAACCCATATCACCCCTTGTTCCTCTTAAATCTCTCCTGATGACAATCTTCAGTCACACCACAGTGCTTGCCTGTGGCACGTGGGTAACTAAGAAGCAGAATGTGAGGGAAAATTCCTTCTCATCTCCAGCCATGGGAATTTGATCTGAGTAAGGATAAATGATACGTTTGTGCAAATGCTCTAAAGCACTTTCATTGCTTAGACTCGTGTGATCCGTGGGCCTTTGCAAGCGTGTCACTTGCTGAAATATTTGGACCTGATTCTTCACATACCTGAAAGGAGATGACTGAAACTGCTCCCCACTTCCCATTTCTTTCCTATCTGGAAGGAACAATCTCTGTAGTGACCATCCCAAAAGGACATTTGTCATCTGTTGCTCAACCCTTCTAGTATTTCTGAGTAAAGAACCACCTAGGACAGCTACAACAGGGAAGGAAAAAATTGTCTCATGACTGAAACACCCAAATGGGAATGAGCCCTGCCTGGTGCCTTGTACAGTCATTTGTTTCACTGCATCATAGGGAAAACATCTGTAAAATGTTCCAGATATTGAAATGACAGCATTGCACACTGATTTCTTACTGACGCAAACGACAACACAAGCTGCAAAGTGGTGAAGAATCAAGTTTGGTCAGTTATTTACTAACTATTGAAAAGATCTTGGAAATAAGACTCTGAACATGGTCACTGATAAGATTAAAACTGAAACATGACCTAATAAAATTTGTCAAGTAAACATAACAGAGACTTGATTAAATTACAGCCAAATTAATCATTGTTCTCACTCCATAAAAACAAAACAATCCAGTCTTATGGGCTGAAATTGTTCTTCACAGCAAGATATATTTAATACCATCAAGGATATTACATTGGAAAAAATTATTATGAAAAGCACATTTGCCCAATGGTTTTCAGGCTTGGAGAAAGCTGTTGATTTGAATCACTGCATCTCTGTAGCCAGGCTAATATAGAAACAGCATTCTCACAATGCACAGAAACAAAGTTAGTTACAGGGATGGTCTTTCACGAGTGCACGTTCAGCACTCAGTTTATAGTGTGTATTTGCTGTTTTACTGAAAATTAAATACTTTTTTCCAGTCTGGCAATTAAATGTATATTCAGCAAACCCCTTTTCTGGGTTAATATTTCACTGCTGAGCGGTAGAAGCTGGA